TGAGTGAATGGAGTTGGGGTGCCTTGACCCTACAAAACCACTCATCGATAGGATACCTTGAGACACTTAGAAAGCGATGTCAGAAAACGTCTGTCCAGGCATCCTAGTCGTAATAGTGACATAATTTAAAATGCATTGAGAAGCATTGGATGGTGGAAATAAAGGGGAATATAATGACATTTTTGTTTCAACTGTTACTGTTCGCCCATGGATCTATGATGTACATCACTGCCACTGCGGAAAAAATTGTTTCTAGTAAGAGATCGCTTTTAAAACATCCAACTTCATTGTGACAACCGGCAAGTGGAAGTGTCTGCGTTGAGCCAAGCAAAAGAGCATTGCATGCTGTAGGATCGTGTTAATTATGCAAAATGTTTTATTCCTTTGGATCATTGTCTTATTCAATGCTGTTTCAACGCATATCTTCACACTCCTTCTCCATGCTTGGAGCTTTGCTCGGTCTCCACAATTTGGACCTCGTGTTGAAGTTCAAAAGCAAAAGATAGTGAGAAAAGATCCAGATCCAAAAGTAGTTTCATAGGTGCTCTCACAGTTGTCATGAGCCTGAAACAAAATCCCATCACAACAAGTCACTTACTGATTAAGCAGCAAGGCAGGTGTGACTAGGCCTGCGTAGTCTCAATTTGCAGAAATAGTTACCTTAAAATGGAGAAGGTGGCACTAACCTGACCTCCACGATTTCTTTCGTCAAAACAGCAATCGGGGTTTTTCTGAGCTTTTAGCTTTTAGCTTACTTTCTATATACAGAAGTCGGGAAATTGAAATAGAGTGGGTACTACTAACCTGATCCCCACGATTTCCCTCATCAGCTCTGTAACTGTTAGCTTCAGGATTGCTTGTGAAAACCTTTGGGGATATTTATGGAACTCCTACCTGGAAGAGAGAGCATTGCCTATTTATTGCGATAGAGCGAGATACCTCATATCTAAGGCTTTTCACTTGCATTCTTTCAGATAGGTAATCTGCAAACACAAGAGACCTTTTCCATGCGATGTGTTGAAGTACACGCCAGTGCAGTCAACAATGATAATTGATTTCATTCAACTTCTGTCATTGAATTAGCTCTCTTTTCATACACTTCTATGAAGAAGAGGTGGTGTGCAGTAGGGCTTCGGCGATTAAAAGCCCCAAACTCTCTATTCGTCTTTGGAGAAAATAGAGGCACAGGGATTCAAAGAAGAAGAAGTGGCGCATTGGTATCCGTGAGAATGCTAAAACTGAGCATGATAAGATGACCGCCATCAGTTGAAATCGAAGTCAAAATGTATCCTGAGGAGTAGAAACTCCTCACCGTTTAGTGCACAGCCATCCTTATCTCAATTAGCTCTACATGAGGTTTGGCCACAGCTGAGACTCAGCATGCGTGTCAGAATCCATCACTGAATAGGGTGTGACATGCACTGCATTGTGTAAGAATCACTGGAATCAATGACCATGGGGAAAAGTGGATGCCACACTTTCCACTACTTGAGCTGACTGACCGGTCTGGTGAAAAATCGCTTCCTGCATCTAGGAGCTGCTTATGGAAAGTCATGTATTGGGTACATCCACCTCCTCCTCCTTCTTCAATGCAGTAGAAGATGACCACCCACTTTAAATACACGACTAACCACTCTAAGAGGAAAGCCGGTGAGAATGCAGTGAATCCAAAGGGGTGATGACAACGCCTGTACTTACCGGCATTGGTCGCATTCATGCTCACTCAGTTATGCCTCATATTAGTACACTTTGCACAATAACAATATGACCGAAACCTACAATCTCTGGAGTGTCTACAGGGTACCTAAACGTCGGTCAAGCATTAGCAAGCATGAATGCGATGATATTCACTGTGTTGATGCGCCCTTTTGTGGGGGAGGGAGAGGGGGAGAGTGAAGAGGATGAGGAGATGACGAGTGATGAGCAGAATGGCTAGTGGTCCGCCTACTTAATGTGGCCTCAGTAGTAGCTGTTTTTCGGACTATGAAGATACCATGAGCTCAAAAGGAATTTGGGAAGGCAGTGCAGTCACTCTAAGCGTTTGTGTAAATGTACATGTAGGTGTGACTGCTTATAGGGCATGTGTTTTGTGAACCAAATCAGTGGTGACTACCCACTGCAGTACTGCTAAAAGGCATCTTGAGTACATACAGATCACCCATTCCGAAAAGACAGATACAAAGCGAAAGAAACCTATGAGGTGAACTACAGAGCAAAAGAGTCTCGACACAAGAAATACCACGAAAGAGGAATTACCTCACCACCATGCTAAACTCATAGGCAACCTAACCGCATAGCCGTGTCCAAAATCAAATGCACACAAATTAATTTTGCAAGTGAACGACTGCAGTTGGCCTAAAGGCATTTCCATTGTCTCAAACTCTCCACTGTCCAAAATTAAAGGCAAGTCAAGCAGAACTCAGATAACCTTAATAGGGATGGGTGGTGCTAATCAGCTAAGGGCGAAGAAGCTCTTTAATGAATACATGCACGCTGATTTTCTGGAAGGCGAAGGGAGGGAATGCATGATAAAATGTACAGGTGGAAACCACAAGCACCCTTTGCCTATGTGAAGCGAGACACCTCGATCAACAAACCAACGAACCCGGAAACTAACTCCCCCACCTGTATCCAAGTGCACGTGTTGCTATTCCCATAGTAGAGAAGTTAGAGAGCAAAGAAATGCTCCAAATAGTGTTGTCGGCATAGCACTGTCGAGGGGCACTCCAGTCTCACTGCCATTTGGAAGGGCAATGGTAACGTTTCCCATCTCACAAATACAAGTGTGTCGAGATGTGTTGATGCTAGACGTGCATCTAACGATTGGAGGCTGTTCAACACCTCCATGAAAGATGCCGTTAGACAACTTATCACTCGTATGCTTCTCTTCCACAAAAGTAGATAAAATCTGGTTCCTTCAAATCGCCGTCATTTAATTTGGCACTCTTCCCATACACTTGCATAAAATCACGAGGCTGTGCAGCAAAGCTTTGAAGATTAACAACCGTTGGGATCTCCTTCGTATTCGGATGAAATGAGGGAAAGGGTTGTGAAGAAGAAGAAGAAGAAGACGAAGATGAAGACGAAGAACAATCACACTGACATCCGTGAGAAAGGAGGAACTGCGTATGACGAGGTGATTACGGGTAGTCAAAGTCAGACTGAAGAATACATTCTGAGGAGGGTATTTCGTGTGGTGTTTTATGTATAGTCGTCCTTATTGTAGTCGCCTCTACGTGGGATTGAGCCGCAGTTGAGACTCAGCGTACATGTCAGAAATCATAACCGAAGCAAAGTGTGACATGACACTTTTGGTGAATGATTCAAGGGAATAAATAATCACAAGACAAATTGGATGTCACTCTTTCTCTGACTTGAGAAGACTGATCCAACTGGGGAGTACCCACTTCCTATATGTGGGAGACGTTTATGGATAACAGAATATTGTTACGTCCATCTTCCTCTCATCCGTCGGCACAAAATGAGACCACCACCGATTTTAAATGCACGACGAACCACTCTAAGGCGAAGGCCAGAGCGAATGCAATGAGTCCTCAGGAAAGGTGACCACCCGTGTACTTCAGCAGTCCAGAGTGGAGGAAGGTACCCAGCCATGGTTATCCTGCTTTGCTGCCATGTGTCACTGGTCAAGGCCTCTGTCCCAAAGTCTTTTTCTATCTAGACTAATTAAGGTGGTGATTTCAAACATTTCCTTCCCTCAGTGTGTGCACACGGATCTAATGCTAATCGGAGGGTGTTGCTAGGCTGAACCACCATTTGTATGACCTCAGCTGGAAAGCACACGCATCTTCGTGTTGTCTTCAATCTAGCCATCCAGCCTGCTCGCTCTTGATTAGCAAATGACTCATAGGAAAATCACAATCTCACTGAATAATGGCTAACATGTGGATTTTGCTGGCGTTAATTGTCATTTGAACATACGGTGCAAGTGAATGGAGCGATCCAGAGAACAGCAGCATGCACACATGAATGACATGCGGATAATGCAGAGTAGGAGCAAAAACGACTTCAATTGTTGCCACCACCTTGCGTTAAAACTGCATAAAAATTAAAATATTTGGTTTTGCATGTGAACATAATGGACCGCGATGAAGGTAAATGCACTACACACCTCAAATTGTAAGGAGCGGTCAAAAGTCAACATGAAATCCTGACAGTTTGTTCAATTCGATACCACAGCACCCATCTAGGTGACAGGGTGGTCGGTGGTGGAGAGCAAAGGGCAGAAATCCTTGCTTATTCAAATCTGAAAAGATGACGAGTGTCACAACTGGCATGGCAATCTACTGCATCTGTGGGACCCTGAGGATCCAGAGGATCAACACGACACTCGTCCAATGGACATACTGCCTTCATCTCTGCACATTGATCCATAGACACACAACAGGGAAGAAGGACAGTCCAACGGTAACCCTCTTGCATGCCATGACTACGGTGCGGTGAGAGGTGGGTAAAGACACGCATGGGGAGACGCTTGAAAGTTGGTGGTCTAAGGTTTTATAAGGAAGGGCGTTAAGGATATCTGCTACCTCAGAAAAGCCTTTTTGTTAAATTTCTTAGGAATGCCCATTTCCTAACATCCCAAAAGCACACCCTCGTTCCCTCCCACCTAATTGGGTAAGATTACGACCAGATGTGCCTTGGTTGTCACATAGTCAGCCATTTATTCTGCTTTTACCTGTTATCAATGTAATCCAACCACCTGTAATATTGAGGTGTGCTGTGGCACCAACACTATCACATATTTTATGCCAAAGGTCGCAAGGCACTTTCATTATCCCCTTCAGAAAGCAGCACACTTCTCAGCCCACGCCAGTGTTTGCACATTGAATGTGTTTACAATTCGACGCAGCCGATGCTGGCAGCGGAACCGATTTGTCGGATTAGGGATCTGGATAGAAGGTGGGAGTGAAGGGGGAACAGGAGGGCACGAGGACATGACTACGCCTAGCTATCAGATCTCAGCAGCAACTGCTTCAGCTAACTCAGTAACCTCAAACGGTCGCATTCAGTTGCCCAAAAGGTCCAATTCACCCACTCAATTGTCAGCCTGCTTTTGTTTTTAAATAACACAAAAAATGACTTTCCTTTTTTGCAAAACAAACGATAATATATGACGGTTGATCCAACCTAATAAAGCGTGTCTGATGGGTTAAAAAATCAAAAAATAGCACCTATATACTCTGTGTAACACCTCCATAATCGGGAGCTCGCCATCCTTTCCACACAGCGTGTCGTCTGTGACCTGGCTCAGAGGCGCTAATCCTTGCACAATCATGCGAATCTGAATTTGCACAGCATGTTTATCACGCTCCCACAAAATATCACAAACCAAACTTTGAAAGGGCGATTATTTTAAAGCACAATTGTTAACTTTTGCAAAGTGTTTACAAAAGCGACGTTTGGGTGCAGTCCACATCATCGCAACGCATCCATTTCCTGCGTGCATTTCATGTAATGCAGCACTGAGGCTCGGTAATCCTAGTAAACACTCCGGTTTATGTAGAATCGGAAAAAGTCATCAGGTATGGATGCAGGTATAGGAGGAGCAGCAGCATAAACAAGGCCAAAGTACTTTGTCTGATTTCACGAAGTAGAAGGGCATCCATTGCAGAAACATGATTGTTCGTGTGCTGTCATGGGTGTGAGAGGCCATTCACACCTCCACCAAATTGCAAAATGGAGCCGAGATATTTGATAATGCAAAAATAGTGTTTTAGCTTATTATTGGACACGAAAATGAATTATGACCTGTCTGTGATTAACATAGTGCAGTACCATGAGTATCTAGCATAAAATTGTCCCATGAATTATGTTGCTTCTGGCATTGACTGTATGCGGCATTTTCCATCGGCTTTGCCCAGTTGGCGATGCAAATGCAGCCACAAGTGGGAGCCTGAGCAAAGTATTTGGCAGTTTTTCATTATGCACTGCCAACGCAGCATCACAATGCGCTCTTACAGTACGAACTCAGGACTCTAGCCAGACGAACGTCTAAGCCTGTGGAAGAGGTCCAAAATCGAGTGACCCAACTCGGTTATTCCAAGGCGCGCATTACAGGAGTTGCAGCACACTAATGGACCGATTGGCAAGCGCGATTGACTACATTCAGTAGACCAACTTGAAATTATTAATGGAACTAACTGGAGAACCGACTTTGGGTAAAATGTTTGGGTGACTAGTGGGCAAAGTTGAGGAGGTTTCCGGGGCATATCCAGCACATGTTATCATGCTCGTTACAACAAGCAGCACAAATATCCATTTGGGCGAGAGACCGAGGTCACACACAACTGGTGAAAATGGAGGCACAGAATGCTTGTAAAATGTAGTAGATTTCCTTAGTTCGTAAATGAAGGCCGAACAACTAGAGGGTCTCCACTTGCTTCTTCCCATTTGTAGGAGAATCCGCAGTGCTTTGTCCGAGTAAGACTCGTCAAATGGCATGCAGGCGAAGGCCTTCAGCAGGGATACTGCGTCCTTATCCGCATAAAAAGGAAAACACATCAAATCCGTACGACACCGTGCTGTAAGACTTTCTTAATCAACTGGAACGTGATCACATACAGGTCACAATCTGGAAGCTCTTTGGTCTGTTCTCCCCCAAAACACCCAACCAGTAGATGGGTACCGCCACTAACATCAGAAGCACTTTGGGTAGCGACTCACGTGGCTGTCGATAAATCGTCAACACACAGATGAGGGAATCACCTCACACAAAGGTGGTGGGAGAGAAGATGGGTAACTACGTGAACCAAGGCAGAGGGAGGCAAGTTGAAAACGCGTTCACTTGGCACAGTCGCCTGCCTTCGTCCATTAACTGCAGCACAATGGCATGGAGACAAGTATGCCTGATGTAGAAGAGGCCTGCAGGCAGATGATCCGAACAGGAAACTCTCCACAGCACTCATTATCCAAACGCACATGATGGCAGTAGTTGGATTTGCAAGGGCAGTTGACTTCACCGTGTACGGTGAGTAGGGTGACGATGACCCAAGTTGCTGACAAACTAATGAATGAGATTGTCACCTTCGTACAAGGCTGCTGACTGTCAGGTACAATCCTCCTCTTTCCTCCTCACATCTCTTACACATAAAACCACCACGTTTTGGGTGCATTTGGCCAATTCTGATGGCAATGGTTATGCCTAATTTTGTTATGACCCAACTTTCAACCTCCAGCACAACAGCTGAATGCGCCTTGGCAGTAAAAACTCGACGCTTCAACTAGATGCACACATCTAAGTGTGTGGAAGTGACTCGACATTGGATGCCTCAAATTGGATTCTCTTTAAACATCACTTCGAGCACCAAATTTATGCCATAACAACGGTCGGATTTGCAAGCCCAGTGGACTTCCTCGTGTGCGGTGAGCAGGGTGACACTGCTTCACACGACTGACAAGCAGATTGCCTCGACTGGGAAGGGAGTGCCAACCTCGTCCACTAATGCCGATTGTCAGTAAACACGCCGCCTTCATCCTCCACTCGAAGGCTAGACAAGAACCCCCACGTTTTGCAGATAGTTTGTTCCCCTTGCCAGCAATGATTGTACCCATTTGGTAAAATGTAGTGTTGAGCAAACTCCTAATCGCCCACCTCATTTTAATCCTCATCATGCAGAAATTCCCGCAGTTGTGATCGAACCGATGACTCTCTTACCCCCATGAACAAGTTTTACAACAAAGTGTGACCTTCAAGAGGGATTGCACAACCGCACACAACAATGCGCGACAAATTCCACAATGACACCAACCGTTGCACAATCGGTGAGGAGAAGAATGAAAAAGCGTAAATGATCATTGAGACACAATTCGGGTAAGTGACGAAGTAGAGCAGTGATAAAACCACTGGAATTTGGTAAACAACTGAATTGCAATTGTCTGTGGTTTAACAAAACAAGGAAGCCAGTTTGGTTACTGCAATGAGAAGACAGTGAGTGACTTCTTCCTGTCGTGTATACTGACTGTCACATGATTTATTTTTACAAAAAGTGTTTACAAGGCCGCAATATCAATGACGTCAAAGAGGACCAACTGGCTCCTGTCAAAGGGAATCCAGCAAGGCACCGTAAACCGAACCGAGACAACCAGGAATGCAAAGCTCCAACTGCAACTCGACCAGGAAAAATACTGTGGTAAACATCGGCCGCCGGGCATGCAATTGAACTCCTCAACGGACACCGCGCTCGGCTTCAAATCCACGTGCAACATCAGGTGCGAGGTGCACAAACCAGAGTAAATCCCACAATTTCTTCCAAAATGAAGGTTTTGAATCGAAGTATGACAAAGTGGAAGTCCCGAGAGAATGGTCACACTGCAGCCAACTCCATCCCTCGCAATCCACACTTCCCAATTTTATTGCATCCAATTGGCATCCCATCACACATCACTAACTCAATTCGACAAATATTTTCCACCTAAATCTCAACGAAGCCGAAGCAGCAAGGATGAAAGCCTCATTCCTTTTGTTACTCCCTCACGAAGGTCCAGGTGGTGGAAGTTTGCTCGACCACTGCATGCAACCAAACCTCGCCACTTCAACACTGCAATGGTGCGCTGCGACGACTCACTCACTCACGCATGACGATGACCACTTACAGAGGCAACGACATGCAGACAAGTAAACACAACCAGGCGTGATTTCGACCATACACCAGTACCCCAGGACAATGCACACCTTCGAGGGAGAACGCAGACCATGCATAAAATGCTATTTTATACGAGCAATATGGATAGGAAAGAGCACAAGTGCAAACGGGATAGACCCACTAGCGTTAAAGTGTATTGACAATGGACTAATGCAAAGTGGTGACAATTAACTAGGGAAACAATAACAATCGAAAAGTGATTTGACAACTACAAAGGGGAATTAAGTGAATAGGTTACAGAGAAAAGCCTAATGGACACTAACATGCTTGTCACAAAGAAATAGCACAAAGAGACATGAAAGCTCAGGGCGTAGATACAAGGAAAGAGAGCGAGAACACCTACGATTTTTAACAAGAAAAGCACTGCACATTTGTGAGTAAATGTGAATATCCTGAGTATATAAATAAACATAGAGGACCTCAAATTGTTGCTCCGTGTTCTTTG